GGGAGAAGAGGAGGGAGGAATGGAACCGTGCGAGATATCAGGTCTTACTATGAATTATGCAATGAAACACATTGGATGATTTTGAAGTTCTGAATTAACTGAAAAAAAAACTTTAAATCTACTTTTAACCTTGTTTACATTAAGGGGGGATGCTGACCCCGGCAGAGCTCGTGCCCTAGGTGCACAATGTTCTCGCCCGGCGTGGATGAAAGGGGCTTTCACATCTGACTAATACCCTTCCGCGGGCCACAATAAATGGCATCGCGGGACCTCATGGACAACCCTGGTATAATATTCATGTGCGAAAAACAAATGAATGACTAAACTCCGATTGTGGCACCTCAAGGTCACGAGCTGGAAGGAGAGGGGAACATTGTCATCTAATCGGGAGCTCCAGTGCCAAAAATTGAAGCCGCAACGAAGCTTCCGATTGGACAACAATGTATCGCTGATTGGAAGAAGCTAGTGAATTGCGTTACAATCAGCATCAGTCTGACTTGGTTACCAATGGAATACAAGATCTGGAAGACTGAAAATAGGAATGAGCAAATCAAAGCATCCATCAAGATCAGAAAGACGCAGATCATAGATATTTGAGTACGGAGAAACCAGAAGACTGCACAGAATATAAACATTTAGAGCTAAACCACGTCCGTTATCCATCCAGAAAAACACACAAGGAAAGTTGGGAGATCTACAAAAGGTTAGAGTATGACACCAGTAACGCTCAAAAAATTGGCTTTAAACTTTTCAAAAATATGTCCAAGAGTGAACGAGATGATGCACGTGCATATTTTAACAGAGAAAACATGCACTGAACATTATAGGAAACTCTTATTCGCAGACAATGTTAGGGAAGTGGAGACTGAGAAAATGCCAAATAATGAAGAAATAACAATGGATGAGTTAAAATTAACTCTACAGAAAAGCAAAAATTGGAAAACCACGTGATTGGAGGATGGGCCAATGGAACTACGGAAATATGCAAGAGATCAGATGAAAAGGTCATTATTAAATTCTTTAACAATCTTTGGCCTGTGAGCAAAAAATCTGCAGATTTGAACAAAGTCTTAATAATCAATAAACATAAGCTTTAATGGTTCTAAAACAGCACATACTTCTCGTATTATTACTGTATTTGCAATTTTCGAAAATTCAGAGAGTATAGTGAAAATGAGACCCGTGCCATTATTTTAAACGTCCCTTCTTCTACTTGGGGCGGGGGGGGAGAGAAAAATTGGACCAGTTTTTGAGAAAAAATTGTTTTAAAAATCTCAAAAATTACCTACATTTCGCGCAAAATTACACGAAAAGTATTCATATTCTCTAAAAATTGCACGTGACCTTATTTCAAGATCTCATGGGAACTTTCTCGAACAGACATTCATTCAACACACAGCGCTACCTCTTTAGAATAAATGTTTTTAGTGTTTTAAAGGAGGGTGTTATTATAAGAAATGAGATCATGATCTATGATATTTAATAAAGTAATATCTTTTTTCTTTAATTCAAAACAAGCCGAGTAAATTTCTACAAAAGATAACATGTTTTTTGGAACGAAAGCAAAGGGTATAAAACAAAAAATTAAAGAATAGAACAAGATCAAAGGAGTTAAATGGTAGTGCCTTCAAACTAGGGGTAACCTACTTTAAATATCGTTTCTTAGAGAAACAATTGTAATCTACTTAATAGAATATCGTGTATTACTGTTTGCAAGACTCTCTTGTCTTGAAAGACTAAGGGAGGAGTGATAAAAAATCTTAAGAAATTTAGAATTAAATTAATGGAAACTGAATTAATGAAATTAATGAAATGTTTCACTGGCAGCCCATGTCTCTCTAAAGTAAATATGACGAAAAGAAAATATGAGGCGTGTAAATATACCGGCTTACAAGCATCAAATTGTAACCAGGACTTGGGGTGAACCCAAACAACGACTGTCAACGTGTCCTTTAAACTTCGACTCGCTAGATTAGGAATAGCACAACGTTTGCTTTAATTCACGTCTAAATCTTCCGTGCAAACTCGTGTAAATACATTTCGCAGGAGGCAGA